TGTTCGTCTCTACCAACGCCCTCTTGATACCTGCCTTGTCCATATGAAGTGCACACGCATCGTTCTCCTGCCATGTTGCATCCACCGGGAGATAGCCGCTCAAGTAGGCCAAACCCACGGGCAACTGAATCTCTGCGGGCTCATGCATAATCGCCCGTACCACCTCACGATTGTCTCTGGTAAGTCTCGTGGCAGAAGTCTTTGCGTCTTTGTCAAACCCCGACAACGCGATAAGATCATCATCAGAACACAGTTGGTAACGAGGTCGTAGCTCAGCAAAAGCATGCCTGTACTCGTAGCCCAGCAACGGGCCCTCCATGTCGTATTGTGTTTCTGGTGGCGTCGATGAGTAGTAAATCACTTTCCACTCGTCCTCCTCGGTGCTCGCGATGTCACGCGGATCCTCCATCTCCAGATTACGCTGCCACGCCGCCCTGACATCCGCACCCAGTCCACCGTCATCACCATGTTTTGCTGGCCCTGGTTCTTCACCTAGGCCATGATCAGAAGCATCACTTAGCGATGTGGGAGATAGAACAACAGGAGAAGTACTATGCTGTTCTGCACGTGCACCTCCCAATTCCGGTACGCCGGGCTCCTCTCGCCTTGCCTGGTTCACCACCGTGACCGCATACAAACAAACCTGCACTGTGAAGATGTGTCTCCATTCTCCACGATCGCCCAGTAGCATCTCCATGTTGATACTCTGACTGCTGTCAATGATGATGTACTTATAGTCATTCTTGTTATCCTGCGACCAAAACGCAATAATGCTGCCAGTAGCGCCTTCACTCGTAGAAGATAAACGTGATACTCCGTGAGGGCACACACCTGCCAAACAGTTGGATACCATGATCCGGTTGATGGCCACATCCAAAATGGTATGGAATACCAAACTGCGCTTGATCGCATCCACCGTCAACTGCCAACCAGCACCCGTTAACATCCATCCAATATTCAGCGCCTTCTCCCTGGTCGCGTTCGTGCAGTTCACCGCGCACTTCCAGACGTTGAATAGACTATCGTGTCGAAGCCGATCTGAACAAGCGTCCAGAAACATAGTCATGTAGCCCATGGCTCTTCGTAAACTCTCGACAGTAACAATGATATATCTGCCTTGCCACCTGACCGTCGCCTTGCCGTGCTCCATCTCCATCAGGTCAGCGACGGTCGCCGGTCCGACCCAGCCAGGGCGGTCCTTCTGAGGTGACTTCCTAAATATCTCCACCGAGTCGCCATTCGCAAGGTCCAGCTGTTCACCTGCCAGAGGTGTTCTCGATTTACCGGCTAGTCGCAATCGATGCTCTGCCATGGAAGAAACTGCACTGCCACTTGAAACTTCTCGTAGACGATGCACATGCCGTAGACCGCCCATACCTGACTTACCCTGCATCCTGGACTCGCCAATGATGTCCGCTATCATCTGTGGTAGCAATCTCGGCGTTCGTCCATACAGTGACTGATATGGTGTACCTTATCACGTAGATAACAATGAACTCTTCGCCAGCACCGCCTCAGCCAGTATCTCTGCGAAGCTCGCCTCTATGTTGTCAGCCTGCAATTGAGACTGCGTTCGATGAAGCTGTGAGCGAAGTATATCATGATGGCGTTCTGCGATCCAGGCCTTACTGTCCTTCGGGATAATCAACTCGATATTCCATCGCGTGGCCCAGGTCTTCGTCTCATCACTGTTGATCGCTCCTTCGCCGCATGAGCTCAGGTGGTCCAAATGCCCGAATCCATCGCGACGTCATTGCAGCAATAATGGCCCCAGATTCCTTATCAGCGATCTCTTCTGCAACTGTCCATCGCACATTCACAAAAGAGATGGATAATGATCTAGCTCCGTATCTGCGCCCCCGTCTCGTCCGGATAAAACATGAGATCGCCCTGAACCGACTGATTGAAACGCGCGCTGATCCTCGTAGCCGGTCTTACATGCGGTGCTCCTCGGGCCCAGGTACGGCATATTCTGCGCGCACCCGCCGCCTCCGCCACCAGCTTCATGACGTCTTGGGAACCCCGACCAACGACAACAACCTCGTCATCTGAACAATAGTAGCATGGTCGGAGGTGAAGGGGTAAGATCGAAGTGGAACGGAGAGCCCCCCTACCGGGAAATCGGTTTCGGTTTCGCGTTCGTGCGCGCCGCGCGCGCGGGCGAGGCGAAGCTGCGCGGGCGGGCGAAAATAAAATCTCCTCCGGTTGAGGCGCGGCCGGAGCAAATGACTCCGTGCAACTGGTGCCGCGCGGTGCCCCGCTGGCGCCCCACTGCGGCTGAGGCGCGGCCCGACCAAATAACTCCCTTCCGGCGTCCGGTGCCGCGCGGTGCCCCGCCAGTGTCCCGTCGGCGTCCCGATGATGATGATGATGATACCGATGATGTCCACGATGATGAGATGATGGTGATGGTGGTGATGATGATGGTGGCCGGATGATGATGATGCTGATGATGCTGCTGCCAATGTTGATCACGGTGGTGATGATGATGCTGATGGTGGTGATGATGATGGTGTCCCAATGATGATATTGATGATGATGTTGCTGATGATGATGACGATGGTGTCCCGATGATGATGATGCTGATGATCCTTATACTGTTGATGATGAGATGTTGTGATGATGATGATGGAAATGATGGTAGTGGTGCCCCGATGATGATGATGATGTTGATGATGCTGTTGATTGCGATGCTGATGATGATGGTGCCCCGATGATGACGATGATGGTGCCCCGATGATGCTGATGTTGATGATGAGGATGATGGTGAGGTGATGATGCTGATTTTGATGATGGTGGTCCGATGATGATGATAATGATGATACTGATGTTGAAAATGATGATGGCGCCCCGGTGATGATGATGATGGTGATGGTGATGATGGTGACGATGGTGATGGTGTCCCGATGATGATGGTGTTAATGATGATGATGATGGTGGTGATGGTGTCCCGATGATGATGATGTTGATGATGGTGTGCATGATGATGGTGAGATGATGATGACGGTTGTGTTCCGATGATGATTACGATGGTGGTGTCCCGATGGTGATGATGATGTTGTTACTGATGATGGTGACGGTGATGGTAAACCGATTATGGTCAAGATGATGGTGATGATGATGATGCTGGTCATGCTAGTGATGGTATGATTATGATGCTGGTGTCCCGATGATGATGATGATGAAGGTGATGTTGAAGACGTTGGTGGCGATGCTGTTGATGATGATGGCGTTGATTGTGAGGTCACTCGTGATACCGATAGTGAGATCGATAGTAAGACCGACTGTGAGATCGATTGTGAGATCGATAGATCGAACGTAAGCTTGATTGTGAGATCGTTAGTCAGATTGATTGTGAGATCGATGGAATAGACCGAGTGAGATCGATTGTGAAATCGATCGAGTGAGATCGATCGACCGAGACCGATAGTGATATCGATAGTGAGATCGATAGTGAGACCGATCGAGTGAGACGTTTGCCCCCCCCCCCCCCCCCGAACCTCCTCATCACCCGAAGGGTGGTCCAAAAGGTACCATCTGAGATGCAATCTCCTTAAGGCCTTCTTCTTAGTCGCAGCGCCCGCATCGCGTATCATTCGAGTAGCATGTCGGAAATCAGAATAACTCCACGCGTCTTGATCTTCATCACAATGCGGTACCAGCGCTTCGTGACTTTGATCTCTGGATCAGACATCTCGGTCATGTCGTAGACGTCGTGCAACTCTTCCTTCTGCATGTGGCTCTGGTGGCACAAAGACGATAGCTCCGTCTCCCGCTTCTGGCTGTCGTGCATCCTGTTTACCTCCTTCGCGTTGACTTTCAGCGCGAGGTGCTCCTGCTTCGGGCGGCTCTGCCTCAGCTTCACCATCATCCAAATCAATTGCATCTGGATGATCAACTTTCCGCCCATCAGCGGGAACTGCAACTCTACGATTAGCCTCTGCAGCTGCCACTTCATCAGGTCGCGCTCCTGAAGCTGTGGACCCTCCTGTAGCGACACTTCCTTCGGCGATTCCACCTCTACCACCTTCGTCGCGATCAAAGGGGCCCCCTCGACGATCCCGCTGAGGCACTACGCCCCCCGCCGGGCGAGCTGGCCGTCGCGCGCCGACATTCCACTTACGCAGCTGATCAGGTTCTGGCGATTTAGCATTGCCCGAATCATTTTTCGATTTGCCACGTTGACAAGCAGGACACTCGTAGCCCACAGAAACCACGCGAGGAAACTTGCACTCTAAGGATGCGCCGCTGACCGATGTCGCTCGCATCCAATGCATACTCTATCCAGCTCGTCATCCAGTAGAGGGCAGTGCTTACGTTCACCCAGTACTCTTTGCCATTTACGACGATGTGGTAGGGGCTCTACTCCCCAAGCCAGCCGGTCGGCAAGTCGCCAAGGCCAGACTTGTGAAGCTGATGCATCTGCACCTCGTAGCATGGCGCGGTCACCATCGCATGCTCCAAGTGTCGCCACAATTAATGCCGTCGATGTGGTAGATGAAAGAAATCGTAGTCAGATGCCCAGAAAGAGGCTGGCTTACTCACGTGACCCCCATCCGCCGTTAGAGCACCCATCTGACACATATGGAAAGTTCCCGCAACAGTTCGAGGATGTTGGCGAACTTTAGGCCAGGGACGTAGAAATACATGTCGCTTGCTGTAGGTTGCTCATTCAGCCAATCCAGACCATCAGCATACTGAGCTATAGCCACCACAGCACAACATGCTGACAACCCGAACGCATACCCAAGACTCGTCTCCCAAGTATCCGGATACAGTTGACGATTCATGCGAGACCAACTGCCGAAGGGCCCAGGTATCGGACTCATTATTACAACTCGTATTCCACGTGCAGCTCGATAGTTAAGAACAACCTTTTGCTCGCTAATATGCGCCAAGTCGGCGCCAGTGATGATGTCGAACTTCTTGCCTATCTTCGCGCGGAACCTGGCCAGGGTCATTGACGCTCGAGCTCGTCATCCGGAAATCTCACGCAGATCCTATTCCACATACTCCAACTTAGACTGGTAGACATCGATGGCCACCATGCAGTTAAATATCTGAGCAAATGGCGCGCCGCGCATTTCACAATGTGGTACTTCCTTGTACCCCAGCAAACCAGTAAGGATAAGAACTGCTATCACCTGGAGCTTCGAAATGGCCATCACCATCGCCATCGCCACCTGAGAAACCAACAGTGAGCATGGCATCCTTGCCCAGACCACTCCAGTCACTGCCGCAGTCATCAAAGTGCTTCTCAACGAATTTCGTTTCATTCGGTTTGGAGGCAACTGCGCTCGAAGCCCCGCATTCCTTCTTATTCGAATCAGAGGCAACGGACCTCGAATTCCCGAAGTTCGTCTGGTTCGATCCAGCACCACTTGGACTCAAAACCTCGTTCTCGACCTTCGCCTTCAAGTATGCTTTCTTCTGCTTCTGCCTTTCCGTCGTCGCCGTCGGTTGTGAGCTGCCAATCCTGCCGTCGCCAAGAATCGCGACGTTCTGGCGATCGGTGAACTCTATCAAGTCGGCTCTGGACGCGGGAAACATGCTGTCGACAACCTCTAGCATGCCTGTGGTAATATTGCAACGATTTTCGATTCTCAAATCTGCGATCTCACTCGGCTTGTCGAAGGAGTACCTGATATCCACGTCATGTGCCACGCCAGCTCCATGAACGCACGGGGTACATGAGAATTTCTTAATGGCATAGTGGAAACCATCTGCTACTTCAAAGGCTTAGTTAGATACAGGCGATCACACATCCCAAGCACAGGCCGGATGATGCGCTGTGTACGCATGCTGCATGTTGACGAGTCTCTGGGTAGCCGCCATTTGCCATGCACTTGACCGCCGGGAGCAAAGGCAACAAAGTCCATATCCTTCTTGACTGCGAGGTAAGTCGTAAGCCTGTCCATGCTATTGCGATCGTTGCGAGTACCTGAACCCGTTCTGCAATGTGGGAGCTGAGCGACGATCAAGAAGGCATCCTTCGAAAACCTGTCGCGCGCTTCCAACCGCGACGATTCGAGGAACGTGGTTCGTGATGCCATGCGTATATGCGGATATTGTTCATTTAGCTGTTGCTGCAGCTGCGCGTCTTCACTGACCAGTACCAAATACTTCTGTAACATATCCCCCGCGCTTGCACCCTCGCCGCCGGCAGTCGCATCCGCCGATCCTGATGTCAATCTGAAGAATCCCCACTGGCCACCTTCTGGCTCGAAGATGGCGTGCCAGTAGCGGGGGTGACCGTAGACGTTGCTGTTTAACTGGGACCTGCCGTCGCTCTCGTAGATGCATGCGTTCGCCTCCTCGGTGGCCAGCGCAATGTTACCTGTCTTCGCCGGCTGACCATCTTGCTTTCGTCGAAAGCGGCGGATAGGTACTTGCCAATGACCTGACTTGGCCTTGAGCATCTGAAAGCGACGACTGCCTGGTGACGCTTCAATCTTGACACCCCCAGGCCCCAGAAACCATCTTTCACCCGTCTTGAATCTGACCAACGCATCATTCCGCTCTAAGCTCCGAATGCCCATCAATCCAGGAACTCCAAAATTCTCCAGGCACGGTGCCTTGAAAACCTCCTCGTGGTAGACGTCGTCAGTATCCACCATGCCCGTCGCCAGCCCCACCTCGCAGCCTGCCCGTTGAGAACCGTTGCCAACGCCAGCAACGTGACGAAGCTCGATCAGCGCCTGCTGTTTGACCGCCTTCTGGTACCCCACGCACTTCGCAGCCTGGCGACGAGCCCATCGATCTCCACAACGCCCGTCATGAGCTCCAGTATCTGGCATGAGACCGACCTCCTCACTGGGCAAAGCCAAGTTGCTGGAAAAGAACACGTACTCGCGCAAACTGCTACCCGAAGGCCACCGCGGCCCGACAAATGAAGCCATCCGTCTCGGAGCCTCTGAAGAAGATGCGGCACCAACGCCCAGATTGGTCACGTCCGCGACGATGTTGGGTCGCCGCGCTGGCAGTGCCGTGGGGGCGAAACTTGACCGCGTAGATACGACGGCATTCGCGTTGGTCCCGCTGGGGATAAATAACAACACATTGGCCAACTCCTCCATCATTGTTGAAACCGGCGGTCGTTCATGAGCTCCGTCATCTATATTCTGACAAGTAGCCTGCACTGCCCTGGTGACTGCAGCACGGCAGAAGGGGCGCTTCGGTGGATCACCTACAGCGCCGGCCACAGTGAGCCCCGCACAGTCTTCACAGAAACGAGCGCGACCACATGGCGCCATCTTGGTAGTGGCATCGCCTGTCAGGCATACGATGCAGTACTCCTCGTTGGGCGCCCTATTCTGCGTGTTCCGCGTCTCTGGAACGGGCGCGGCTGCGGCTTCGGCAAGACGCCCTGCCTCTCCAACGTGATTGCTGGCCATAGTGATGCGAAACTCTGTGGCGCCACAATGAGATCCCGGCGAATGAAATGCCTCTGGCGCTGCCGTCGCAGGCGGCGCACTAAACCCAGAAGAAGAAGCCGCCCCAGACGACAGATACACCGACTGTTGGATGACCGATAACAGCAAACCGGATGACGCGGGTCGCGCTGCCGACGGCGGTCTTGGCGACGGAAGTCTCCAGCACGGCGCGACGCTCCCTGGTGAACCGAAAGTAGGTGCAGGACTGCTCGTGAAGAACGGCAACGCTGCCCCGTGCATCCGCGGCGGCGCAGATGGCGGCGTGAATGCTGCCGCCGCTGCTTGGGATGACACCCTTCGCTGCATATTCTGCGCCACCGCGTACTGCGTCTGCAATCGTGCCTGCTGCTCTCGTTGATGCTGATCACATGCGACACGATCCGCGGGTGACAACGTCTCGGGATATTCGGTATACCCGGGATCGAAATCTCCAATGGCACGTTCGTCACGTTCTTCATCGCCGGCTACCTCTGCGGCACAAACGCCTGTCGCATCTGCACTGATACCAGAAACCATCATGCATGATGTGACCGACTCAGCGTTCGCAATCGTTCTGGCCTCCTCCGCAACCAAGAACCGCGGCACAGCTGGGAACCCAACAAGAGGTCCCCGAGCAAAGGGCGTCGCAATAGGAGCTGCGGCATAGGTGGCCGGGGCCGTAGCACTCGCGTGCGTTATCGTCGCATTGCTGTCGCCCTTGCCCTTGCCCTTGCCACCCTTGCCCTCGCCATGAGGACATCGCCGCCGCAGGTGATGAGTAGAACCACAAGTGGGACACTTAAGAGGCTGGACATCGGCACCACTTGGATTGCCTTTCCGACCTTCACCGAAAGACTTGCCCACGAAGTCCGACTGCTGAACGTCCTCGTTGAAATGGCGGCGACCAGTAAGGCCTCGATGACGTCGAGGTGCCTTGCCCGTAAAGCGTCGCCACTTCTTACGATGCTTCTTGTACTTCTGGTAGTTGAACTCGGCGCGATCGTTCTTGCTCCAGTTGGCCATGTCGGGCTCGTCCTCCTCGCCCTCGAACAGCACAGCGTCGATCTCGCCATCGTCGTCCGTGGTGTCGCTATCATCTGCATAGTTGATAGTGGCCCTGATGCGCGTAGTCCTGCATGTCGGGCACCATCTGCGGCTGGAGCGTTGGCGTGAATGGTCCCGTTTGCCAGATCCCGGGCGTGACCTGCTCACTCGTCATGAACGCCTGGTCTGTAGTGTGCAACACCGATGGCCCCTGCGTAGCTGGATTACTCATGTTATGGCTGCCGCTCTCTGCCAAGTGACCGAAACGCTTGATATAGGTGATGAGCTGCCTGTACTGCACGTCATCCATCGGCAGCTGACGTTGAAAGGGAACAAGCACCTGAACTCAATACTCCGCAGGCAGGCGTAGCGCCATCAATAACACCCATGCGGCATGATGATGCTGTACTGCGATGTTGGAGCGTGTACGGGCACGCTGCAAAGCCACTTCCCAACGTGTGATCAGCGTGTCTATGTTCTCGCCTGGCAGGCGTGCGAACCCGCACAGATCGGCCATGCCCCGCAAGTTGGTCTCCCCTTCCAACGGCAGAAACTGACGTGCCAACGCCTGATGAACGAAACCAGCTCCACTGAGACGTTGCAGACCTGCACCGTCTCCCCAGTCCATCTCAACACAATTGATCTTCGCGTGAAGTGGTAGCTATCTGATCATATCGCGCGCAACGCCTCGAAGTGCCAACTCGATCTGCGGGCCCTTCCTGATCTCGTCCAGGTTAATCGCATTGCACCATGCCACCACGTCGGCCAACCAGTTGCGGAAAGGAGACTGTTGCTCCATCTCCGGCGCCCATGGCGGCGGGTTGGTCATACTACCGCGCATGCTGCTCCAACCCCTCGGCTCGGGCACCTGCTGTCCATACGGCCAGGCTGGCCGACCAACGACCAGCTCCTTGAGCACGTCCGTCTCCGAAAGGCTGAAACTGTCCAACTGGCTGTCGATACATGGTGGCTACAAATGAGAAGACCACGTGACACATATTCTGTATATTCATTAACTCAATCGCGATGATCGGGCTCCTGTCGTCGTCCGTGGAAGCCGACGCAGCGTGTGCCAGCTCCGCTACCAGCTGGAGTTGTCCCCGAAGTCCTCTATATCGTAAGGCACCTCCGAAAACACAAAGACCTCGGAATCCTCAATCTCCTCCTGCACGAAAATGATCGCACTCTTTATCACGACGCTGCCAAGCACCAGACTCGTATGGCCAAGCGAGTTACAGTAGCACCGAACGCACACGTGAGATGAAAGAGGATGTTGTCTCTGTCTGCTCCCTCGTTATATGCAGTCAATCAGACGGGGGGGGGACAACTGCGCGGCTTGAGCCTAGGAGGCTATGACACGAGGGCCTCCGAAGCTGCTGTGCTCACAGTTCTGACCTACGCATGCCTTGCCTTGAAAGCCTCTCGACCTGACAACTGCTCTATCAAGTCCCCTCCCCTCCCCTCCCTGCCCCTCCCCTCCCCTCCTCCTCATCCTCCTCCTCCTCCTCACTTCCCTGCTCGTTTTCATTCTCCACCACCTCCTCTCTCCTCCGTCCCCTCCGTTCTTATTGCTCTCTTCCTCCTCCTCCTCCGCCTGCTCCTCCTCCTGCTCCTCCTCCTCCTCTTTCTCCTCCTCTTCCTCCTTCTTCTCCTCCTCCTCCTCTCCCCCTTCGCCCTCTTCCCCCTCCGCATCCCTTCTCTCCCCCTCCGTTGTCCTCGGAATCGTCCTTTTCTGTTTTTCCGTCATCCTCCTCATCCTTCTCTCTCCTCCTCCGACGCCTCCTCCTCCTCTTCCAGCTCCTCCACCACTTCCTCCTTTTCCTCGGCGCCGGCCCCAGAGCGCCTGCAGCAAAGGGCGACTTCTTCATCAGACACCCGCCGCGCACCGAACCTCTCTTGGTTGCAGCCGAGGGCCTCTCTATCGCATGCATGGCAACTCTCGCAGCAATTTGCTGAAGACAGTGGGCTTCAACTGTCAGAGCTTCGTGGATGACAGGGCAACGATATTTCGAGAGTTCTTGCAGCAAATGATGTGGCAATGGTAATTGGCATGCAATGTCACCGAAACGATGATGGCCCGCAGCAGTATAGGCATGAACGGCACACGGAAATCCGATTCGGGTGGAAGCGGAGTGTGCATCCAAACTGGGGTGTGGGACTTCTTTCTTTATTGGTAGGCGCCTCA